GGCCGCGGGGCTGGACGCGGAGAGCCCTCAGGCGGGGAGGATGGGGAGGAACTGGGGCTGCGGACGCTGGTGGCAGCGAAGGGCCGTCGGGCCGCTGAGGGGGAGGAATGGCGGCGTCGGAATACCGAGGAGGAGAAGCGGGGCCTTCGGGCGGAAAGCGGGAGGGAATGGGGCTTGGAACGCTGACAGGTGGCAGTGTCGGGAGCCGGGGACGAGGACCGAGAGGGCTGGTGGCGATCAGAACGCTGAAGGGAGCAGCGGGGCCCGTTAAGAAGCGAGAAGTGGGGGTTCCGGACGCAGAGAGAGAAACGAGAGGTTTGAGGCCGATGACACGGAGAAGTGGGGTCGTGGGAAGGCTGAGAGGCGTGGACGGATGGGGTCCGTGGAGTGGACAAAGAGAAGTGGCGTGTCGGACCGCTGACAGTTATGGATGGCATGATCCCTGGACGAGAGCTGAGAGGAGTGAAGGGATGTTCGAAACGTTAAGGGGTGCGTTCAGGGTCTCGGGTTGAGTGAGGAAGGGGTGGAAAACGAGAATGTTGACGGGAAAAGTGGGAAGCATTTGGCCCTGGAGACAAGAACTAGAACCATTTGGGGCTGAGACGGGGTCGGGGAATCGTGTGTCATAACACTGAGGGAGAGGCAAAATAAGGGAGGGGTATTTTGGGCTGAGGAAGGGGAAGCATGGGGTAGGCTTCCAGGCTGAGTAATGGACAAAATGAGGTGCTGTCCAGGCCAGAGATATGGAGGAGTTGGGGACTTAATCGCAGAGAAAGTCCAGGTTGTCGTAGAGGTAGCAGGATATAAGGACAACGGACAGCGCGGGAATGGGATGTTTAAAACTCTGGAAGAGACAAAGGGGAGCTCCTGGGCCAAGGAAGGGGGAAATGGCAGGTAAGAACACTGTAGTCAAGTACTGAGGGCAAAAGGAATGGGGGCCTCTTGGACTGAGGATGGGGAGCATGGGAGTCTTAGGGTGATAAAGGAGAGAGATACAGACTGTTAGGTCAAAGATAGGGAGCAGTGAGTGGGAAGACTGAAAGTTTTGGGGTTGGTGTGGGGAGAAATGATGGAGTCTCAGTCTGAAACTGGAGATCAGGACACTGCGAGTAAGGCATAGGAACCCTTGGGTTGGGGATGGGGAGCAGTGGGTGCTACCAGGTCAAGAAGTGGGAGAAATGAGGAGTCCCTGGGCCCAGAGCAGGAAAGAGTGGGGTGGGAATGGAAGGCGTTTCTCCTTCATATATGGGCTAGTTGCCTGTGTCAGGTCCTAGATCTTGGGCAAGCTAAGGGACACCTGTGTGATCTGGGGCATGGTTTGTCCTTTCCTAGAGCCTCAGGTTCCCCTATTTCTCCCACACCTTGCAGGCTGCTGCTACTTCCCATGGCCTCCATGGCTGAGGACTGGCTGGACTGCCCAGCCCTGGGCCCTGGCTGGAAGCGCCGTGAAGTCTTTCGCAAGTCAGGGGCCACCTGTGGACGCTCGGACACTTATTACCAGAGGTACTGGGTGGGTTGTGGGCAAATCAAGGATGGGGCTGAGCCTAGTTAGGGTGAAATCAAATAGTGTGGTTAAATTTATGGATGGAGTTAAAATTGTTGCTGAGGCTGGCCATGGTGCCTTATGCCTGTAATCCCGGGACTTTGGGAGGCTGAGGCAGGCAGGGCGCTTGAGGCCAGAGGCTTGAGACCAGCCTGGACACCATAGCAAAACCCCCATTTCTACAAAAAATTTAAAAAATTAGCTGGACATGGTAGCATGCCCCTATTGTCCTAGCTACTCTGGAGGTTGAAGCGGGAGGATTGCTTGAACCCAGGAGTTTGAGGCTGCATTGAGCTACAATTGCAGTGCTGCACTCCAGCCTGGGCAACAGAGGGAGACCCTGTCTCCGAAAACAAAACAAAAAGTTGTTGCTGAACACTTAGGTTTTGATCTAGGTCTGGTTGCTCACTGCACAGAAAGCCAGTCACTTAGAAAACGAGTATTGCTGAGGAAGAAAGACTTTATTGTGGGTGATATCTGCTAAGAGATGGGAGGCAAGTCCAAAATTTATCTTTCTAAATAACTAAAATTAGGAGTTTATTTAGTGGGGAAGGAATGTGACTTCATGCAGGGGAGATAAAAGTTAGGAAGGAGTGAGGAAGAGGAGTTGATCAATAGGCAGCAGGTGTGTCTTATTGTCCAGATATGGTGATCTGGAAAGCTTCAGTTCCTTGATACTATCTAGGAAGCCAGACAGTTGGTTTCCTGAGATAAAAACTCAGGTAAGGAAACATAAGTTTCTCAAGCTTCAGTTCTGCGGGAAAATTGGACTGGTTCCAAGTTATGCACATTCAGTTAACCCTTGTTATTTGTAGATTTTGTATTTGGGAGTTCACCTACTTAATAAAATTTATTTGTTACTTCAGAGTCAATCAGAACTTGTGGTGTGTTCATGGGTATTCGAGGACATGGGCAAAGCAGCAAAAAATTGTTGCTCATTGCATGCGTTCTCAGTTGAGATTGAAGGAGGAGGTCTTTTTGTTTCAGCATTTGTACTGTTAACAAGTGTCCTTTTCATGGTCTGTTTAGTGCCACGTTTTTTGAATTGTGCTTTTTGTTGCTGATTTTGCTTTATGGTCCCCAAGCATAGTGCTGAAGTTCTATCTAGTGTTCTGAGTATGAGAAGGCTGTGATATGTCTTATGGAGAAAATTTGAGGTAGATAACCCTTGTACAGACATAAGTTGCAATGGTGTTGGCTGTAAGTTCAATGTTATGAATCAGAAATATGGTACATCCAGAAAAAGAAGGAAATTTGCCAACATGTGTATGAGGCAGCTTCAGAAAATACAAAAAGTAATGTCTATAGTAGTTGGTGAAGCTGTGGAAAAGATGGGAAAGCATCTACATTGAGGATCCATGAAATGATTACTGATAAAGCCTAAGAGGACAGCATTGTTGAGGAAAACCAAAGTCATGTTACCCAGGATTAGGAAAATATTAAATTTATATCAGGTAGTACTGGCTGGCTTGCACATTTAAATTTCCATGCAGTGCATAATTCTACAGACTAGGAGTCTTTGGAAGGAAAGGATTTAAAAAATACCTGCGAAGTGTTATGTAGGCAAAGAGATATGTAGAAGATTGGTCTTCAGTGCCAGTGTGAGTGGCTTGTTTTACAAACCCATGTAACACAAATGGCCTCTGAAGCCTCTGGCTTTGAGTCATTCAAAGACTTTGACAATTAATTATTTGTGAAAAATAGTTATTAAGTAAGATGTCTTTAAACAGAAATATACACAAAACAAAGTGATAAAATGTGACCAGAGCCTCTCAGGAACCTAACTGTATTTCCTCTAGGAGTGATGGTTCTGTATTCATTGTCCATGGTGACTTTGTAGAACATCACTACATGGATAATGAGAATCATCTGTAAATATATAAACAGATGCTTATAAATATTTGCATGTGTTTTGGGATATATTAGTGATACAGTTATTGAATATTCTATGTTTCCTGACTTTTTTTTTTTAATCTAAGTTGCTATTTTCCCAGGCAAATACAGTAAAATCACAAGTAAAACAGTTTTTGTTGTGTTTAGTCATAATTTATTCACATGGTTACATGTGTGTATAAAACTTTCAAAACGTATAAGGGCAGTTATCAAGAACTGTAAAGGATCTGAGATTTCATTCTAATTAGGACAAAATCATGGTGAATTTGTCATGATTTTGTGGATGCTGGTAGGATGAGACTTCTGGATCAGCAATGACAGAGATTTTTTTTTTACAGTAGAAGGATCCAAAATACAATAGTTCCCCCTTGTCTGCAGTTTCATTTTTTGTAGTTTGTTACCTGTAGTCAGCCACCATCCAGAAATATTAAGTGGAAAATTGTAGTGATAACTCATTAGTTTTGAATTGTGTGCCATCTTCAGTAGCATGATTAAACCTTGCACCATCCCGCTCCATCCTGCCCCAGAGGTGAATTATCTCTTTGTCCAGTGTATCCAAGTTATATATGCAACCTGCCTTAGTCACTTAGTAGCCATCTTAGTTATGGGATAAAAACAAACAAACAAAAAAACAGTACATATTCTATAGGTTTTGGTACTATCCATAGTTCCAGGCATTCACTGAGTGTCTTGGAATATATCCCCTGCACATCACAGGGGATTACTGTATTATCATTTTTGTGCCAGTTTCCCAAATCCAAGTTCACATAGCATGATAAAGAAGGCCAAATAGTACCTGCACATGCAGTGGGTTGTATTACAGGAAAAGAATCCTGGCCATAGGGAATCAAGTCTTTTATAATATTGGGACAGTAAGTATGCTTTCCCTTTATTCTGGAAGGAGACCCTATCACTTATCTTACAAACATCCTTGGGAAGATAGTTTATTACAAAGGACAGCCAGGTGTGGTGTCTAATGCCTGTAATCTCAGCACTTTGTGAGACTGTGGCAGTGTGGCAGGAGGATTGCTTGAGCCCAGGAGTTCAAGCCAGCCTGGGCAACATAGCAAGACCTCATCTGTACAAAAAAATAAAAATTAGCAGGGTGTAGTGGTGTGCACCTGTAGTCCTAGCTACTTGGGAGACTGAGGCTGGAGGGATCACCTGAGCCCAAGAGGTTGGGGTTGTGGTGAGCTGTAAGCCTGGCACTGCACTCCAGCCTGGGTGACAGATTGAGTCCCCAACTCAAAAAAAAAAGCAAAAACAATCTAAAGGACAACCAGGGCCTCTCTTGCAGGACATACAGAAATGCAGCAGACCAATAGAGTACTGTCTCCCAAAATCAATTACTTACACTATAATTTGTATGCAGTTGCATGTGTTTATATGTTTTTCAAACACACTTATGTTTCCTTGTTTATGTACTTGGTACGTAATAATGTATTTCCTATTAATATATTTGTGTTTCTATTTGTGCTTATTTTTACCAATGTGAAATACTTACAGTATTGTTATATGTTATAAACATGTTCATGTCTGTTCACATTTATTAATAGTTGTATACATGTTGGTGTTTATATTCATGTTTTATGTTTCTTTTATTCAGGGTTACGTGGGGCCTGGGCAAGGCTCACAGGCCAATTCCAGGTTGCCTCCTATATCCCACCAGCCCTGTGGGAGGGTGTGTGGGTGGAATGGCATTGGCCCCACCTGGGTGCTAACCCATCATGGCCCATCCACAGCCCCACAGGAGACAGGATCCGAAGCAAAGTTGAGCTGACCCGATACCTAGGCCCTGCGTGTGACCTTACCCTCTTCGACTTCAAACAAGGCATCTTGTGCTATCCAGCCCCCAAGGTACTTCATAATGTTAGGCGCCCAGGCAGGAGTGGCTGTGCCACCTCACACCTGTCCACTAACTCACATTTTTTCTGCCCTCACTCTCATCATCTCCAGGCCCATTCCTTGGCCATTCCCAGCAAAAAGAAAAAGAAGCCTTCAAGGCCAGCCAAGACACAGAAATGTCAGGTTGGAGTCCAGGGTGGTGAGGTCAGGAAGGAAGTCCTGAGGGATGAGATCAAGGCTGCCTCTGACACAGCCCCAGCTTCCTTTCCTGCTCCTGGGTGAGTGTTGGCTTAAGGTGAGCCATATAGGTGAGGGTTTTGATTGGGGGTGCTCTCAGGGCCCCACACCTGTCTTTCCCGTCCCAGGTGCTGTGAAAACTGTGGAATCAGCTTCTCAGGGGATGGTTCCCGAAGGCAGCGGCTCAAAACGTTATGCAAAGACTGCCGAGGTGAGTGACCCTCCGGGAATTGGGGCATCAGGAAGTAAGAGCTGGGGCAGGCCGGGCTCGGTGGCTCAGCCTGTAATCCTGCGCCTTTGGGAGGCTGAGGTGAGTGGATTGCCTGAGCCCGCGGGTTCGAGACCCGCCTGGGCAGCGAGACCTCATCTCTACAATAAATCAAAAAATCAGCTGGGCATGGTAGCGTATGCCTGTAATTCCGGCTACTTGGAAGGCTGAGGTGGAAGGATCGCCGGAGCCCAGCAGGTCGAGGCTGCGGTGGCTGGAAGCGGCCACTGCACTACAGTCTGGGCAACTGAGTGAGACTCCAACTCAAAAAAAAAAAAAAAAAAGAGCTGGGGCAGGCCTGGTGTCAGGCTGGCCGTTGAATGTGGATGTCAGGACAGGGGCTCCTGGCATGGTTGGAGGCTGAATTTCGGCGGTATCGGACATGGCCCTGGGTGTGACCACGAGGCAGTGGGTGAGGGCAGGTGTCTTCCTTCCTCTCCACTCTTTTCCTCCCCTCTCTTTTCCCTCAGCACGGAGAATTGCCTTCAACCGGGAACAGAGGATGTTTAAGGTAGGCATAGCCTGCTTTCTCCACACCATTCTGTGGTAGGAGCCGCGTGTGATGGGGTGGTAGAGGATCTGGAAGAATGATGATAGGTCCACGGTGTGCAAGCGTCATTTTATGAGGAGTTCTAAAATTACTTTGCCAGCAGGCAGAGTAATGGGGATGAATGGGATGTAAGTAGATGTCGCGGTGAAGTTAACGGGCCCATTTGCCACAGTAATGGTCTCAGCGATGGTGGCTCGCCAGTAGTTGCCAAGTACGGTGAAGAGGGACTGTGTGGGGCAAGAGACATGGGAGGGCCCGAGCGTCCAGAGCCACTCCGTCTGGGCCGTTAACCTCATCCCACCCGCTACTGGCAGCGCGTGGGCTGTGGGGAGTGTGCCGCCTGCCAGGTAACAGAAGACTGCGGGGCCTGCTCCACCTGCCTCCTGCAGCTGCCCCATGATGTGGCATCAGGGCTGTTCTGCAAGTGTGAGCGGAGACGTTGCCTCCGGATTGTAGAAAGGGTAAGTCCGGCCGGTGGGGAGGCCCCATGGCTCACCCCGGCTCTTGGCCCTTGTGGCTCTGGCCCTACGCTTCACGCCTCTGTGCTCCCCTTCCCACAGAGCCGAGGGTGTGGAGTATGCCGGGGCTGTCAGACCCAAGAGGACTGTGGCCGTTGCAGTATCTGTCTTCGCCCTCCCCGTCCTGGTCTCAGGCGCCAGTGGAGGTGCGTCCAGCGGCGCTGCCTACGGGTGAGTCAAGCTGAAGAGGGCAGAGCTAATTCTGCTGCTGAAGTTGTTGCTGCTGCTTCTGCTCCTCCTAACCTGGCCTTGCCTAGCTCATATCTTTCTTTTCTCCCCAATGCCATATTCACGTCCCCGGCCCCACCTATCTGCTCCTATCTGCCAGCACCTTGCTCACCGCCTCCGTCGCCGCCATCAGCGAGGTCAACGACGCCCTGCCCTGGCTGTGGCTCCCCCCACTGTGAGTGTCCCACCTTCCTGACCCATGCATGCTTTCTGTGCTCCTGGAATGGGAACTCCTGAGAGTTTGCCTGGTGCCACCAATCCCAAACTGCCTTTCTGCTGTTTCCCAGGGTAAACATGGCCGCCGCAGGGGAGGCTGCGACTCCAAGATGGCTGCCAGGCGGCGCCTCCGAACCCAGCCACTGCCTCTGCTTCCCCCATCACAGCCCCCAGAGCCCACAGAGCTGGTGAGGCCTTGGTGGGTGGGGGGAAGGCATGACCCTGGCTTTACCTAGTGCCTGCCCTGACCCCACCCCATTTGCCTCTACAGCACCCCAGAGCCCTGGTCCCCTCACCACCTGCCGAATTCGTCTATTACTGTGTAGACGAGGATGAGCTAGTGAGTGGCCCCACCCTACCTTTATAAGCCTAGAGTCTCTCAGGACGCTTGGTTAACTCCAAAAAAGCAGATGCTGTAATAAGCCTGTTGGGGAACAGCAAGACAATGATGGGTCCTAGGATGGGAAGAGCAGGTGATCCAGGGAAACTAACATGGGGCCCGCAGTTCAGTGACGGTGTCTAATGTCAGACGCACCAGTGACCTAGAGGCTAACACAGGACTTAGCTGACACAGTAATGAGGGTCAGTCGAGGAACAGCACAGTGACTGGGTTCACATAGGATGAGCAGACGGAGCAGGTACGGTGATGGGAGCTACGAGAGGGCCAGCAAGTCCTGCCGGAGGTAGGGCTCAGAGCCATTTTCTTGGCGGTTGGTGGTGGCCTAGCAGATGTTGTGATAGATACCGCAGTGGATTGGCCACAGTCCTCATGGTGTCGAGGGCCGGCTGCCACAGTGGTGATGGCCACTGTGGAACTAGCAACCGCCTGGGTGTGACTAGTGGGATGTCAAGAGGCTAAGACAAGTATGCCAGTAGCTCCATCCCATGGGACTAGAGGAGCACCAGGACCAACACCGGAACAGGTATTGAGGTTGGCCTCTCCTAGTCCTAGTGACAGCACCACCCATTCCCCCCACCCCAGCAGCCCTACACGAACCGCCGGCAGAACCGCAAGTGCGGGGCCTGTGCAGCCTGCCTACGGCGGATGGACTGTGGCCGCTGCGACTTCTGCTGCGACAAGCCCAAATTCGGGGGCAGCAACCAGAAGCGCCAGAAGTGTCGTTGGCGCCAGTGTCTGCAGTTTGCCATGGTGGGTGGGGCAGGAAGGGTCAGGTGCCCAGTGCCTGGGAGTGGTGGGCAGGCATGGCAGGTGGGTGGGTGGGGCAGTAGATTTGGTTGAAGATTAGCAGACATTGTGCTGGGGTAAAGGAGTTGAGGTGGCACTGCATTGGTGATGGGAGACGAGCAGGCGTGATGCAGGGCTCGTAAGCAAGCAGGTTCTGTGCTGGGATTGAGGGGAGTTTAGCAAGCATGTTGAACAGGGCAGGTGGGTGTCCTGGGTCGTGGCACCAGGTGGCCATAGCACCCCATCTTTTTTTCGCAGAAGCGGTTGCTGCCCAGTGTCTGGTCAGAGTCTGAGGATGGGGCAAGATCACCGCCCCCTTACCGTCGTCGCAGGCGGCCCAGCTCTGCTCGACGGCATCATTTAGGCTCTACCCTGAAGCCCTCCTTGGCCACGCGTGCAACTCGTCCAGAACATGCCCAGGCTCCAATGAAGCAGGAAGCAGGTGGTGGCTTTGTGCTTCCCCCTCCTGGCACCGATCTCGTGTTTTTACGGGAGGGCGCAAGCAGTCCTGTGCAGGTGCCGGGCCCTGCTGCAGCTTCCACAGAAGCCCGACTGCAGGTGAGAACCTTACCTCCTCCTCTCCTTCCCAGCCCTACCCAGCCTCATGCCAGGGAGCTGAGACCAAGTCTGCTGCAATCCTCCCTTACGCAGGAGGCCCAGTGCTCTGGCCTGAGTTGGGTTGTGGCCTTACCCCAGGTGAAGCAAGAGAAGGCGGATGCCCAGGAAGACTGGACACCGGGCACAGCTGTCCTGACTTCTCCTGTATTGGTGCCTGGCTGCCCTAGCAAGGTGGGGGCAGTGATGGATGTTCTTTTGGTGCTGTAATGGGGGGTCTGTAAGCAGAGTGATGGTGGTTCTCTGAGCAGAGCAACAGATGCACTGATTGCACATTTCTGCAGAATTACCCTGCCTGTCTAACAGACACCCCACCCCCACAGGCAACTGGCTTTGTCTGCTTGCTGCCCAGCTAACAAAAAAACAGAAGTCAGTAAGAAATGGGAATGGGAAAGACCTGTAGGCAAAGAGACGACAGTTCTCTGCTGAACTGTGATGGAAGTGGGATTTGTCAGCACAGTGATGAGCTGAGACTTCTCTCAGGCTAACCCTGCCCTCCTAACCGCTGCCCATTTCCTGTTTCTCCCAGGCAGCAGAGCCAGGCCTGCCATCTGTGAAGCAAGAGCCGCCTGACCCTGAGGAGGACAAGGAAGACAACAAGGATTACTCTGCCTCCAAATCAGCCCCAGAGCAGGAGGCAGGAGGGGCTGGCACGCCTGTGGTCAGTGCTGGGTATGCCCCACCCCTGCTTTGATCCCGCCTTAGCCCAGTGACCACATTGACCCATGGTGTTAATTCTTCCCTAGATCACGGAGATTTTCAGCCTGGGTGGAACCCGGTTCCGGGACACGGCGGTCTGGTTGCCAAGGTGTGCCCCACACAGTGAGGGGTGGGGATGGGGTGGGTGCCGGCAAGATGTGGGCCCCAAGTTTTGAGAGTATAGCCAGCAGTTTGGCATGGTGCAATGAGAGGTAGAGGCTCCACACTCACTGTGCTGATCACAATCAATGAGGGATGTGTGTGTAAAACCCTAGAGATTTCTCCTGAGACCCAGTTCAATAGCCTTCCCGATTAGGACTCTCCTTTGGCAGAGAGAGGATGGGGAAGGACTTGATGCCCTAAGATGAAATTTGAAAGGAGGTGGTCCACATCTCCCTAAGAAAATCTTGTAGAGGTCAGCCTTATACTGTATATGAGTTCTCATTCAGAAAATCAACATTTGGAGTCTTGAAGACCTAGGAGTCTCTAAGAGACCATCAAGTGGGCAGTCCCCTGACATTGAAGAGTTAGTGTCCCGAGAATGGTCCTGGGTTTTCCTAGGTGCTGGAATGGGCAGGAGATCTGGTGTTGAGCTGGCTCTGTGAGCTGGGTCCACGTGCAGTTGTGTGATCTCTGGCTAGTCTTGCACTTCCTAGAGCAGCATCTGTGGAAAGACTTGGGCTAGGTCTCTTGAGCCTTTCCTGAACCTGCTGAGGTTATTAACTATTTCAACTGCTATGCAGAATTATCCTTATAGACCTGGCCTAGGATGAGGGGTAGATACTTAAAAGGACTGGGATGCTGGGAGAAGGACAAGGGAATGCTGCCTCCTTCAGAATGTTGACAGATCTTGCACAGAGCCCCAGACACTGGCAACATAAACTATTGGCCTAAGCACCTGGATTCCTTGCTCCTACAAACCAATTCCATAAACCCCTCCAATTTTACTTGACCGATTTCAGAGGCACTCACTGAACTCCTGCTGGGTACACAGCTATGTGGAGAACCAGCAGGGAGTACAATAAGCCCTGTAAGACTTACCATTCAGGAAACACAAGATTCCTACTTTCAGGGAGCTTATCACCTGACTGTGGATTATATGATGTTAACAGAGATTATATAATGTATCTGTAGTGATAGTTTTTAGAAAAGCGATCAAGGATAATGATGGGGAAATGAATGGAGGACACAGAATACTAGGAAATGGTTTTATGTTGCTCCATTTTGCACACAGCAAACTGCATTCAACATACAGTCCTGCTCCTTCTTGTCTAGGTCCAAGGACCTTAAAAACCCTGGAGCTAGAAAGCAGTAGACAGAAGGCTTCTGCAGACTGTAGGATGCAAGGTGATATCTGCAGACCAGCTTTATCAGAGACCACACTGATCGACTAGGGGCTGGGCCCCAGATTGGTTGCCAGGGCTTGTGTGTGAATCAACCCTGGAAGGAAAAGCCTGCCACCAAACCAGAGGAGCGGGCCTAACAGTAGTTTAGCTTCTGGAAGCCAGTGGGAAAGGAGGAGAAAGAATAGTAAGTTGGTGCACCTGCTCCTCCCCAAGAGCCTGGTGGTGATAAGAAGCTGGGTATTGGGATGGGGGACCTGGGGTGGGAGCAGGAATATAGTTAAAGCCACCACGAAACAACCTAAGCAAGTTGTCCTCATACTTTTAAGTGGCTTCTGGATGAGACCTGGCAGCGTCTCTAAACATTTCCTCAGGGAGACAGCAACTGAAAATGTCATGTGAATAAATGAGGAAAGGAAAGGAACTGCTGTTTGATATGTTCCTCCTATGGACCCAATTTAATCCTCGAAACAGTCTTTTAGGAAGACACTGATTTTTGCCCATTTTTTCAGATGGGAAAACAGATTCATTAATTTGTCCATTGTCAAACATCTATCGTGTTGATAGAACCTAGAACTAAACCCAAGCTGTAAAGGCCCTGTTCTTTAAGCCACTAGACTGTAAACCCCAACCTGTATGCAATAATGTGTAATATTATAGTAACAGGAGTTTTCAGTGACCTTGAAAACACAGTGGAATCACTATAAGTACTATAATAAATTTCTTACATTTCTGCCTCTAGTGTGGCTTAGGGAGTGCCAAGGCTGTATGTGGGTTGGGTCACCTTGTTGTTGGAGCATCTGTATGTCCAGAAACTGGGTTCTCTGGAGGCCCCGGGTGCTGCATAGGCTTGCTCAGACCCAAAGGCAATCTCTTCCCACTGGCTGCTGTCCATTTGCTCATACCCTGACTCCTCCTCCTCTGCCAGAGCAAGTCTTTGTAAACTAAATCTCCCGGCCTGGCTTATCTTTCCTGACAACATCCATCTCCTGCCCTCTGATGACCTCTTTGCTTGGTTCCTGCCCAAGCCTAAATGTCTACTCGGAGGTGAGGTTCCTTCTTTGCATCCTGCCCAAGGAAGGGCCAGTCTTGGTTCAGCCCTACCTCACTCCTGTTCTTTTTTCATGAAGTGTCAAAAGTTATACGTATAATTTGTTAGCCAGTTTTATGGGACCAGACCTGAATGAATACCTCCTTATGTTTTATATCCTGTGTGCCTCCCTTGCCTTACCCTAGTCCCAGCGTTGCAGCTTTAGGTAATTCAGATGTGAATTAGCCATTTCCCAATTCTCATATGATACAGCCATCTAGCACTTTCCTCTGCCCCTTCCTTTGTCCTGCCCCTCCTGTTACAGTCTAGTCAGGAATAGAAATTCTGATACTGCTTTGTTCCCCCCAGGATCCAACCACCCAACCCTAGCATTCAGGTAATTTTGATGATGATCTAAGTGAAATTTATTTGATTGACCTTCTAGGTAATGAGTTAAGAGTTTACTTGCCATGTGTATTATTAGGGTACAATCAGAAGAGCAGAACCACTAAGATAAAGATTGTGTATGTACATATTTTAAAGGATTTATTATAGGGATTTGACCTGATGCAATTGCGGGAGCTGGTTAAACAGTCTCTGTAAGGCTGTTGTCTTTGCGTCTAATGCTGGAGCTTGAAGTCTGCAGGGCGGGCAGTCGGGAAGGGAAGATGGATATAAAGTGTGGGAGACCGAGGACACGGTGGAGCCCATGAGCACGAGCTGGAACTCACGAGGATGGCCTGGAACCCATGTCAGTCTCTCACCACCTCCAGCTTCGATGATGTGGGTGTTCTGCAGAAGAAGCTGGTGTCCCTCCTCACAGAGTTAAATATGCATCTGGCCCAGGAATCAGCGATGCTGAAGGATGATCCTGGGAAAGGTGGAGCAGTTGTAGGCCTGCCTGCAGGCCTGACTGCTGCCCCAGAGCAACGAGGTGAGCCAGCAGATAAATGACAACATGTGTGAACTGCAACAGCACCTGGTGCCCCTGCACCAGCCTTCCAGTGTAAAAACAATATGCTGCTGCTTCATTTCTACCCTCCAATTAAAAGGCAAAATGTCTCATGTGGCCCATCTTAACCGGAAGTGTACAGAGGAGCTTGGGGAAGCATAGCCTAGCCAAGGTGACATATTACAGAGCCACCCTGCCATGAATCAGTTCCCAAGGGTATTACTACTCACGTGAGGGTAATATGATAAATCTACGCTGCTGACAATGCAAAGCTGAAGACCATGGATTTCATGGTGACCCCAGCAAGTAAGAAATTCTGCCAGCCACACTCAGAAAAAACTTGCCGGTCTTGGCTATATTTGTCACTCATTCGAGTATTGAGAACCTGACCCATGATAGGCACTGTATAATACTGGGATATAGAAATGAAAAAGTTGGTCCATGCAATTTTATTAAATGCATCAACATGTATTATAAATGGTGAATGGATTTCCAACTTTATCATGAAATTTAATGTTGAAAATATAGAATTCAGGAAATAATTGAGAGGACAGCCCTTGTGTGAACCTTGTTTGGGGCACAATAGGAACTGGAAATTACTTAGTTTCTATCTCTAAGCTGTTCTATTTTAATACTTTTAAATGACTTCTATCCTATTTACTGACATACGCTTAAGTGTTTCCTTTGGGAGTGACTTGGTGGTGACTGTTGATTGTCTCTGAGAGAGAGACCGGGAGAGTGGGTGATAAGTTCACGGTCATTTCTGTCCAGGGACCTCGGGAGAATCACTTAAACACCTGAGGAAGGGTTGGCTGAGCCCTGAGGCTCAAGGTGCCCTCGGCACTCGACCTGGCCCGCTCGGCTTGTGGGTGAGCCGCCAGGGGTGCTGGGGCAGCAGCACCCACCAGGGCCCTGGGACACCCCCTCTCCTAGCCAGGCCTCCCTGGGGCCTGGTCTCTGCCAGGCCCCAGGCCTGTCCCGAGGCTAGGCGCGAAGGAAAGCCATGTTCCCCGCCTCGTAGTAGGTAAGCGAGGAAACCGATCCGGAGTTAGTTGACGGATCACTGGGGAGCGGGCGGGGGCTCGGCAAGGGGGAGGTCTCAGGGCAGCCTTGTGTCGCCGAGCGCCAGCTCTCGTCGCCTCGGAGAACTCGTTCCCACGGGACCCTCCGGGCTGCGCAGTCTGGCGCGCCCGGCGGGCGGCCGGGTCTCGGCGGCTTTTCCGGGAGCCCCTCCATTGCCACGTTCCTCCCCAGGGGTGGGGTGGGGGTGGGTCCTCCCCAGCCAGCCCGCGGGCGCCGGTGGGACTCCAGGCCCAGGAACACCCCTCAGGACACTGTCCGGGGAACCGAGATGACCGCCTAATTTCTTTCTTTTTTGTTTCAGGCTACGTAAACTCTTAGCAGTAAGTGAAAATGAGTATTTTACCAAACTGCCATTGAAAGAAGAAGCATAGGAGAAAAGACAATCAGAATTATTAAGAGCTTACTAAAAGAGAAGAAAGACATTATTTTGTGGCTGAAAAGCTGAAGCAGCAATTCAGGAGATGGAATACAAATTTAGAAACGTGCCACATACAAAATCCGAAGAGGGTGGATTACTAATGATTAAGGAATACCTGTACTAATTACTAAAATTTACAGTAAATTGCATCCTTCAGAGGGCATACACATTAATACTTTGGTTATTATACCTCAGTGACTGGTGTAGACACTGATTTGTGTGTGTGTGTGCTCTAGTGTCTGCCTGCCCTGACTTCAGAATGGGAGTGCCAGTGTCTTGTTTTTGAATTGGAGTCTCACTGTTGCCCCGGCTGGAGTGCAGTGGCTTGATCACAGCTCACTGCAGCCTTGAACTCCAGGGCTCAAGCGATCTTTCCACCTTAGCCTCCCAAGTAGCTGGGACTACAGGCATGCACCACCACACCTGTTTTTGTTTGTTTTTAGTTTAACTTTATTTGTGTAGAAACGGGCTCACTTTGTTGCCTAGGCTGGTCTTGAACTCCTGGGCTCAAGCAATCCTGCTTTGACCTCCCAAGTACTGGGTGCCACTGTGCCCGGCCAAAGTGTCATTCTTAATTAGTTTTTAGACTTTACCGTCTTGCTTTTAGCTGGAAATACAACTTTGGTTTGCACCTGTACTGAGGTGTCTACGTTCCCTGATCTTTGTTTCCTGTTCTGCCAAGGACCCTTATTTTCAGGAACCAGTTAATTACTTGGGTTTCCGACCCACATTCTGACCTGGGTCCACTGTGACTTCTGAATGAGATTACCACTCCAGCCGGTTGTGCTACTGCCCAACCATCTGCCCCCATCCTAAGACACCCCGAGTCAGCCTTGGCTGCTGCTCAGCGCAGGAGGAAGGTTTTATGAGTAACATGTTATGGCTGGTTGTGCGGTCTGACCAGGCACGCGGGCTCGCGAGCCTCGTCTTCGCTGTGAAAACGAGGTCAGTACTGCCTGCTTCAGCAACCCTATCAGAAATGTGTGAGGCCCGAGGTGGTGTGAAAATGCTCTTCAGGTCGTAACGACCGTCCCCAGTGCCAAGGCTGTCCCGGGATCCGCCCAGACATGGCACCAGGTGCCACCTTCCCGCAACACGTCCGCTAGGCGCGCTCGTGCTTTCGGAGGCCCCTGGACCGGTGTCTCCGGCTCGAGGCTGCTTTCCCGCCACCTAGCGGGAGGGGGCG